ATGATATGTATTACGGTACGGAGGTATTGTCGTGTTGTGTATGAAAGTGGTATTTCTGTTCCGTTCGCTATCGGTATGTATCAACATACATCCATCCATACATACTGTATGTAAGTTAGGGAGGGAGAGGAGTATGAGCGGGTGTCCCGATGCATTGCAGCTGAGACTTTTCCAATGACTTCCCTCATGGACTTCATCCCCGATGAAAGAAATCCTCTCTAGTCAACTCTTTTTTTTTGGGGGGGGGGGGGGGGGTTACTCAGGGTTTCTTGTCAATTCGGCGACCAGATAATTCGGAGATGCCGATGTTCTGATATGAGACATAGCCAGCAAGCAGCAGGAGAGGCCAGTCTTTCCTTGCCCTATCATTCTCAGAACCAGGGGTTCAACAACTATGCATATTGTTACTCAACGGCGGTGCACCATCCACGCAAACACCAATACATTGCAAATACATCCCTGCTTATCTGCCTTTTACTGCCAGGTACGATAGCTGATCTCCACTCACACATTGCATCATCACTATCATCAGCTAGCTAGACACACACAAGTTGATACAAATGGAGAGATCGACGGCGACCGCTATCAGAATCACATGAAAAGATGCCGGTGTGCTCGGGACATAAGGAAGTAATATCCGCCGCACCTCATGGACTCGACGCAGCTGAGGCTCAGAAATGACAAATCCGGGGGTGTTCGGTCGCCGTGTGCTTTTCTCCGCGTATGGCAGACTCCCTCGATCCCACGGGGATCAAAAAAAAAAAAAAAAAAAAGACGCAAACTGGTTTCTTGCCTCCCCGATCGGGGAACTGGATCCTGTCCCTGGGTAAGTCGTCATCCATGTTGCTTCCCCTGTTATGGTTATGCGACGAATTTGTCATGTTGTGAGCTTGCCTGCCTGTCGGTCGTTTGACAGACATGAAGCAGCAGATTGAATGCAATCTGTCATGTGCGGGGTGCCAATAATCGAGTGCATCCTGCGCATACCTGATGTCTGCTTGTTGGGGAGGGGAAAGGAACTATAGAATAGGTTAACTTCCACTACAGCGAAGTGCATCCTTGACTACTCAGGGGAAAGCAAGTTGAATGTCACTTCGTTGTACCAGCGGTGACGCTTTGCTATTAATAAAACTCTCCCCTCTCTCTGTGTGCATTTCACGACATCCGAAGACTAAAACATGGCCACAGACATGCAGTGATTCCTGAGGCATGCGCTCCATTGTCTTTTGGCCTGGGCTAACATTTTGAAGCACAAGTGTTCCCTGCTGGCCTGATTCGGAATGTTACAGACCCAGAACATTCGAAATTGGTCCGATTGTCTGTGAGCAATGGATGCAGCATGCGCTGTCATCCCTTGTTTATCCATCTGCTCCCTGCAGATTGCCGTTGCTTGACTTCTGCAGGCTTTTTCCATGTTTGTCTGGGGATTTGGAGGTGTCATGTGCCCCGGATTGGCATGGTTGTACGACAGTTGTACAATTTGTTCTGGGTTGGAGGTCGATAGGTTCATATTGAACTGGGTCTACACTTCACGCTGGCCTGGTGGACTATCGTGACCTGTGAATTCATTGCTCGTAGGGTCTTTCTATTCATCAGATACAGAGTATTCATTCTCGATTAGAATGAAATGGTAAATAGCTACTGTAGACTTTCACTAGATTCTCAAGCTGGGAATACATACTATTCCTACCCCAGTATATAAATGCCTACTGTCAGGTTCAGCTTTTATTGCCGTAATGGCCCCGTGAGAGATCCAGATTGACAGCGTTGTTTCTTTTGAAGCTGGCTGGACAATCGAGATTACCGAGGTTTTCATGCTGGTATGCCAAAATTGGAGGGATTGGCTGTATACACATACATGAGAAGCTCTTTGCATCATCTAGTGCGATATAGGAATCACTATGGACCCATCACTATATCACCTTCCATCATTATATCCCCTGTTCCATTACTATCCATTAAGGGAAACGAGGAAAGTTACGCGGATGGAAGCAAAAACATGGGGCATTTATTATTATTCCACCCAAGATTCGAGATTTGCCTCAAAACATCATCTTATGCCATCCCTGATCTGGACGACTTGAGAGCCCTAATTCTGGAGCAATTACCATTAAATCTAATCAAGAGCACAAAGCACCGCTCAAACGCCTGTGTATCAGATCTAACGTACATTTGCCCCTTACTCATGGTCCGGATGGGTATCACGTCCAGCGAGGTTTCACTTACGCTACAATTCTGGTCCAGCCTAGGCCTTTCACAGGGAAACTCGCTGCTAAAGCAATTGCATCAGGGAGGGGGGCCACAGCTGGTCTGTCTCAAGTTCCATTCCTGCAAGTTGATCCACAAAGACCAGGCAGCTTGGCCGTCGCTTGCAGAATTAGATGATTCAGTCAAAGTATACTGAGGTCTCGTTGGACGCCGCAGAGGCAACTACCGGCAATGGCCGGTCTGTGCGGACTACGTACACAGAATAACTTGTCCGTCGAACAGCTGAAATCGCGGTGCAATACATCCCGTGGCTCTTGTAGGCTCGCGCAGGAAAAGGAGAACGAGAATCCATTTTAAGTGTACATTATGGTGACGAATAATGGAGAAGACCACGTATACCGTGAAAGGCGCTTGACTGCCGAGAGGTGCACCTTGATCGCTATATTAGAGGCCGCCTTTGCTGGCCCGATCTGTGTTACAGATCATTGGAAGTCTTGAAAGTTATTTTCCTTTGCTTACCGATTTCTAAATACTCGAAGAGTATTGATATTAAGATGACGCCTTCTCTGCCGTCGAATCTTAAGATACCAACAGAACAATGAAGCTGTCCAATTGCAGAACGGCAACGCAATTTTATTTGGGAGATATAGTATCTATCAAAACGGCTGATACACCCTTTCCTACGGGGAGAGTGCATACAGCACCATCAACCACGACACGATCAACAAGGAAGCCAAGGAAGAACATAAGTGCCTCACTGTTCGCGGTTGCCAGGTACAAGATGCTGCAGTTATGGACCGAATTCTATTAGATTTGGCCCAAGGGAGAATGTCCATTTCGCCTCTATAGAGGATGCACTTTAGTACTCCGTGGTGAGCACTGGTTTAACCAGGAAAAGGCTAAGGGTTATCGGATCCCTGGCGAGCAGGAAAATCCAGAAGATTAGACGGCCTCAGTGGCAGAGAACTCTTCAAAGTGGAGAGAGTCTTAATTGATGCCCCAGTACATGTACGGTTCTTATAAACGAAGTGGACGTCAAACTTGTTCGACCAAGTCAAGGAAGACGAGAGCTTCTCTACTACATATTCGTCCCGTTTTCACCAGTGTTTGATTAACATCCCGTCTACAATCTTGGTGCTCAACGTTCTACCTTCTATGTTCCTGGTTGTTGACAACGCTTTTAACTTCCTGACTACTGCATCTACCGTTGATCCACGACGACTCATCGCCATGCCTAAGCTTGTCAAGCCAGGCTCACAACGATGGAATACGTGATGGTCGCATAACATACAGCGACACACGCAACGCGCACGCACATATACTACTCCCATCGTTAACTGGGTCCCCGGTCTACATGACGGGGTTGAGGAAAACTTTGAACATGTACCTACCTTCAACCTACCTTCAACCTACGTGTATCACCATCATGTACATACTCTGGGGATACTAAGCTCACCCGGTGTAATGGCCAATCTGAAACATGAAAGGACGACTGGTTAAAGGTAGTGAAACAACATCTCAAGTTGCAAGCACAGGCTGCTGCCGTCCTCACAGCTTCCCTATCATATGTTTTTGCGGTTGGTAGTCCTACGCTGTTGTTTCAAACTTAAAAAGTTAGGAAAATGGTCCTCCTGCTTGGTATGCTAAGTCTGTGTGTGGTCTTCGCTCCATGTCCCTTTCTGCTTAGCAGACGAGAGTTGACCGTTCCTTTTCCAATTCCCAATATGTACTACCAAATGCTCTCGCTCATCTACTTTCATTAAATTCCTTTCTTCCTTCCTGTATCCATGAAGGATGCCTGTTTCCGGCTACCGTCTCAATCGGGAACATAGGAGAGTATTGTTGTTACTCCTGGAAAGGGAATAAGTACTACTCCAAAAAGCATACGTACAAGAGCCAGGATTCGCAGGTGTTCGTTCTATCGACGTTATTCAGAATGGACTTCCTCTTCGGAAAAACCTCGATCAACTTTGGGACGATTATTCGATCTCAATGCACTGAGATAAAAGTGAGTGTACTTATCACATTGATATTTCACGGATGCTTTGGTAATTTAAATTTATCTAGAGGATGATATGGGAGTGGATGGAAGGGCCTTTCACCGTGTGTGTCGAACCTCGCTGAGCCGAATCGCATTTCAGATCACCTCCTGCGCTGGCACTTCAGGCAGAGTGTTCTTGGAAAGATGAGGGGCGTCGGGGAGCCTTCATTTCAACACGACTTCTCACCACGATTCAAGATGTTCAAGGAGATCGTGGACGGTCACCCAGCTACTAACCCGCCGGCGTGTGGGTATGGACTACAACTACAGTAATAACAGTAAGCATATGAAGATATGAACATAGTTCTCAACTTGAGAAGGTTGAGAGTGATCTCAATTCAGGCCATCTATCAGTTGAACCACTCCTGCTGTCTCACTACCCACACACCAGCCACTCAACGCCTACCCATGAAAGATCGTAGTCATAATGCCAAACAATAAACCCAATGGAACTGCTAGTATAGATCATCCAGCAGATGGTGAACTTCATCATTGGTCCGTACCCTAAGATATCCAACGCCAGCATGCACAGGGGATGGTATCCCTATAAACAATTACATCGAAAGCACAAACACCAAAACTGTGAAATATAGCTCACATAGGTATAACATTGGCAATACGCCAATATGGGGGAATAGAATAAAACAAATGGGGTAATAAAAAGAAGGGAAAAGGAAAAAAAAAAAAAGAAAAGAAAAAGAAAAAGAAACACAAAAAACAAACGCTGAAGGGGTATATTCCGAAGCGCATTTCATAACCATATATCTCCTTCTTCGCCATTCACCCATCGTTGCCAAACTTGCTCGTAGGCATCTTCCAGATCATGAACCCAGCGCTTGGTATCAAACAGTTTACTTCTCCATCGTTCCTGGAACAACATTCTCCGGAGGTCAGGCAACCTGCCTCTTGCTCGGCCCTCACTGCCAGGCTCGTAGTTCAAACTCAGACATAACCGGATGGCTTTTTCTTCATAATCTTCATCGGATGTGGCAATCAACTCTTCGCGAGCCTTTTGGCCATCATCAGTATCGGGCAAAGCGCTACTAAGGATGCTGCTCGCCATACGAGAGCACATCTTGTATTTGTAGCGAGGAAGGGTCAGGAGAGGTGTCCCACTCCACAGGACATCCGTCGCGGTCGTGTGCGCGTTACACTCGGGTGTGTCCAGGAAAAGATCCAATATTTTGGCCCGCGAGATGTGGGTGTTCTTGGGTGCAACATCGGTAAATATAATGCGAGAGGCAGTTTCCTCTCCCGCCCAAGCAACGGCTGTTTCCTTGAGGTTCTGTTCACCAAGGTCTGGGAAGCGAAGTAGCCATAGTACGGCGTTAGGAATCCGTGCAAGTATCCGGAGCCATGTACGGAATGTTGTGGGCTCGATCTATGTAGCATGTTAGTTGTCTCTATGTTATCACCAGTCCAAGTGCTTATTAGATATTACCTTATATAGCTGGTTGAAATTGCCCAGGATAATGGCATCATCGCGCAGATTAGGAAACAGCTCCTTCCGCATACGCCATCGCTTCTCTCGTTCCTGCTCCCAAGCGAGACGTAGGTCCTGGGAGTCTGGTGCACTTTGTCGATGATCACAACAGAAGAACGTGGCCCTGGTGAACACAATCTTTTCACCATAAACCCAATCTTCAAGGTCCTCTCCATGGTTCTCCTCCAGCACTCGGTCTTTGATGCTAAGATTACGCCCTCCTGGGGCGAGGGTCTCTTGGGGGATCGAGATGATGTCAGAAAGGATGTAGTCGCACCACTCAGCACCCAGGGTCCCTGCAAACCCCATGAATGACATATGAATTGGGGCTGGCCGAGCAGCAAAAACCTCATTACGTGCACCACGTGTGTAACCGTTCAAGTTGATGAGTATATGGATGCCATCCGCGACGATCTGCTTTACTAACCGGTCGACAGACCATCCACTAGCATCGTGAAACACCGGTGCTTCCCTTTCAATCTGCTGACGATGGATAGACTTATCACTTGCGGTAGTGGCATAACAATAGGCTTTCACTCTTGATGGGTTATGCAATCCGAATACAGACTGCATAAGATGCGCAAGGGGATGATTGTTGAAATCCGACGATACATATCCAACTTTGAGATATGGGTTTGGTGGTGCCGGGGGCTGATACACCGTAGCTGGCAGCCATGGGGAGCGAAGGGTTGCACAGGATATGCGAAGCCCATTACGCTGTGAGATTTGTCGAATCTGTTTCGCAGAAAGTGGACATGTAAAGGTATGGAAAGGTAACACAGTAGGAGCATTGGGAGCAGACAACCCAGGAGGAAGTTGTGGTCTGCGATACTTAGACAGGGGATATTCTTTCCGATGGACATAAAGGTCCTGATACCACTGCCATGTGATGGCTCGTATTGCGCGCTCAACAAGCTTTACAATTCTCGAGCCTTCCCATTTCTGCCCCGCCCATGATTGGAGAATAGTATTGAGCGATCCAGATGCAAACCGTCGGCTGTCCAATGCAGGAACCAGCTGCGCGCACAGTTGCTCAATTGTGTTGGGAGTCAGCAGGCCACGGCCCCATGATTCGCCTTCTTTGAGCTGCCGGTCGACAATATCAACGACACGCTTAATCCAACCAGCACCCGTGTCAATACTGTAAGCGTCCCGAAGCATCCCTTGCTCGTTGACATGCCACCGATCCCGGAAGCCATGCCCATTGGCAATCCCACCTCGGCCAACCCAGTTGCAGACAGAGTTGAGAGCATTGGCTAGTCCGCAGACTGCTTCTGCGAATTCGGGATTTACTTTGACAGCACGCTTGTAATATTTGATTGCCTCATTGACACGACCGGCATCTTTGACTGCATTCGCGAGGTTCGCCAGAGCAATGTCAAAATTGCTATCACACTGGACAGCCTGTTCATACATCCGAATAGCAGCCTGAAGCTGGCCAATATCCTTGAGTAGGCTGCCAAGATTCGTATACAGGTGAGCATGTCGAGAGTCGAGGTGTAACCCGTAGTTATAATATGCCAGGGCCAGAGACACTCCACTGCCAAAGGCCACACCAGGTATCTCGGGATGTTGCATCTCACCACTAGAGCGGGGTAGCCCTTTGGTTGCATTATTTTGAATGCCGGCAAGCAGAATTCCCACATTGTTTGCGGTCGAGGGGCTCGGTTGGAGAGAAAGTGAAAGGTAGTAGAGCGCTAGTATATCTCGAACTCCTGGGGCAGCTCTGGGCGCGCCCCCGGTGGAGATACTAGACATCCCATCCTGGTATATTTTTGCCAGGGAGAGTAAGGAATTGCTCGTGGTGGATATCGCCGCTTTCCTTGCAAGACCTTCCCCAACAAATTTGATTCCGGGGGGCGTTCCACATGAAGGAAAGACCAGTTTAGAGGTCTGCAGAGCCTTATCCGGATATAGGAGAATAGTTTCGTTCGAGCTATGTTGTTCTGATGGGGCAGCATAGTCATGCCGCGATCCATACGAAAACGCTGCAAATATCTGCTTTATTAAGTTTTGAATGCCGTGACGTCTTCTCCCGGCAGCGATCAAGATCGCATCTTCGAACGCCACCGCAGCTCCAGCATTATCACCCAATGCATATAACATATTGCCTTTGGCATGGACAAGAGCCAGCATCCTACCGTTGTCGCAGCCCGGGATAGCATAACCGCTCGTTCCAAAGCCAGTGGAGCCGGTCTCTGCAGACCGCTTATTAGTGAAGACTGACCGGTTCAAGTCATCATCATAATCGAAAGATGCTTTCTCGTATGAGCCGAGATCAGATGCGCTCGAGGCACCGCTTTCTGCGTCACTCTCCGTCTCGCTAGCATGTTCATCGGCTGTAAAGCAGTCGCCATTTTTTGGAAAGCGAAGTGACTTCTGCACGAATTCGATAATGTTAACGGCTTCCTTTCCACGATGGCTGCTACACAAGAGACCAATGAGATGCTCTACGGCCTCGAAAAAGCTGGGGCGAAGTTTCACAACACGTAGCCAGTGGTTCAGTGCCTCCTCTCGACGGTCAAGTGCCAAAAGAGTGGCAGCTAGATTCGATATCGCCTCAACATGTTGCGGATCTCTAGCAATGATCCTTGAATACCATCTCATAGCTTTTGGATAGTCACCCAAACCATAGGCAAGACAGCCACCAAGTAGCATACCATCGATCCACTCCCAACCACTCTCGCTACATAGTGGAGAAAGCATGTCTAAAGCGGTGCGAGCATTTGTCATTGGCGAATTCTCGCTGCCAAAACGTGCAGTAGGAAAGGGGGACACCGCTGGAACTGTGAAGCGGCCTGTGTGGCGTAACCTGTCGAGCATCTGCATGTCACTCTGTTGTTGAAAGTGGTGAAGCGAAGGTCGATGCCGATGCTGGTGAGTCTGAAAGCCCGAGTGACTATCAGTCTGCGGGGTATGATTAATGATATTTTTCGTTCGGTGATCATATTGGCACGACGGATAGCTGTTGTGGCGCCCAACTTCCGGTGGATTTACTTGGGAGAAGTCCAGTCCTGGTTGCCGTGGTGGTTTGGGGTATATGCTAGGTTTCAAAAATCGCTGGCTTTGGGGATCACCACCTGCATTAGAAATGCTATTCCGCCGAGCCTGATGGATCGAAGCTAGGAGATCAACATAAACACCATGGGCCCATGACAAGACTTTCTCCTTGAATTCCACATTGGCTGCACGAGAATTAGCTGTAGAACCTGTACCTTGAAACCCATGCCCACTAGCGGGACCCGACCATGGTGTGTAAGCTTCGTTTCCAGGCTGACGTGATGAGAAGGCAGAGCTTGCATTGCTTGGACGTGGATGGTACGGCAATGTGCGTTGAGGAGTATCAAAGGCCTTCTGATCGGAGTGACGCGGGGGGAAATTGTTCTTCACGGAAGGGTCGTGACTGATAATTCCCAGAGGGGTTGCGCTCCAGGTTGAACCTAGATCAGTGCGGCTGCCCGGCGGTACTGGATTATGGTTGAACGGTTGCTGCCCTGCATCGAAGAACTGAAGGGCGGAAGGGTTGATTTGTTTCGCGAACGGATTAGGGGAGTTGTAGCGGGGCTCTCGAAAGGCCGCTGGACGATATGGAATATATACACCATCGGGCCAATACGGACCATATGGACCGGTACCCGCCGATGCTGTAGGGCCGAGGCACGGCTGAAGAGTCGCTGGTAAGACCGTTGGAACATAGGCACCGTTATGCCAGTAGAATCTTTGCTGGGATCCCGGCATCGGAAGCGATTGGTTAAGCATCGAGTCTATTCCCGGCACGTAATTCAACGAACGGACCCAGCTTGCACCATTCACACCCTGAATCATCTCTCCGGGAGCTGTGTTAGTCCGGCTTGACTCGTTTTTGTACACTGGCGGAAAGTTCATCGGTTTCGCTTGGGATGGCTGTTCCAAGGAGAGCTGCGACCAGGTGTCCATGGGAAAGCCCGTTTGAGGAGTTACCATCTGCCCTGACTCAAGAGGTGAAACGAGAATATGCTTGGACGCCGGGGGCTGAATTGTTGCATCCCCCGGCGTCCCATCGTAACCAGCTGCAAGAGTCCCATTCGGTGTCTTCCTCCTCAGTGCGTGTTCTCCAGGGTTCTTCGGGTTGAGTCCAATGCCAGTCGTGTCATGAATATCGAGACGCTGCACTGGATGATACTGTAGTCGAGTACGGGGAACCGAGTGAAAAGATGGTTTATTCATATCATTGTGAGGGAGCGTGGCGGCGAAGGGTGTCGTGTCAAAGTCGTAATTGCCATCAACTGTGTCAGCCCCATGATAATGATTCATATGATGATGTGGTTGAACTGGCGGAAAAGGTGCTACTGAGGGCAACATGTTGGCCCTTGATGGCGGAGACACCTTGTCCCACCGTGGTATAACAAAGACTATACAAAAAGATCCAGAAAGAGGTCCCGGATATCAAAAAAATAACGGTAACAAAAAAAGAAATTGATAGAAAAGGGTCGAGATCGTCGATGCAGGTTACTGCCAAAGATCACGAGCGGTCAATAGTGGAGTCAGGTACATTCAATCTTGTTGGGATTTTCAACAAGCATCCTCCTTGAAACGTTTTCTACACCTCATCCTGGACATGAGCCGGCTCACTAAACATTCAGCGAAGCCCCCCACGGCTTGTCTCTGGGCTCGACATGAACGCTGGTTGGGTTGGTCGTAAAAAGGACACGAGCGAGCGTCGAGAACTAGTAGGACGAGGGATGAAGCAAGAGAATGTAAGCCGTGTCAAGAATACCATCCACGGATTCCGGAAGATAGAAAAGCCACGCAGGCGATTTGGTTTCCACGGCGTTATTTGCTGTGTGATTCTTTGGGAGGTGAAGCGGTAATGCAAGGGAGGAAAGGGATTCAAGAGTCACAGCCCTAGTCGATTTCCTGAGTACCCCCACCGACGCAGGCGTCCGCAAGTACGCGATCAATCACTTGGAAATACCACGCTTGGCAACAATGCTGTACTCAGCGCGCTGACGAGAAAGGGAGGAGGGGGGGGACAAATTAAAAATCAGAACGCAGAAGTAAAATAAGAAGGAAATCGACTATCAAAGAAGACGGAGTCTGAATCACAAGAGTAATAGTGTAGCGGAAAGGTTGAACATGGCACCACTACTAGTAGTTGATAGTAGTCAAGGGGAGTGGTCCTTTTGGTTTTTCTCACGCTTTAGCTCTCTTCTCCTTGTTGGCTCTGGTGGTTGCCGTGGTCCTGAATTGATTAATTATTACTATTGGCCTAAGCAGGGAAATAAAAAAAAAGAAAAGAAAAGAAAAGAAAAAAGGTGCCTAAGATCCAAGGCGACAGCGGACGCAGGGAGTTTGTGAGGCGGAGAACATCCAACGGCCGGCGGAGAGGCACAGAACCATAAAAATGAGAGGGAGAGAAGAGATTGGAAGGATGTCCGGGTCTGGGGTAGTAAAGGATGGTAAGAAAAATGGACCAGTCAAAAGTCGTATCGACCCGACCAGAAGGTGAAGGACCATCAAAGAAGGTCGGAGGGAGGGGGAAATCAGGTCGCAGAAGGAGAGGAAAATTTTAGAATCATGATGGACACAAAGATGAAGCGGGATGTCCCATCATGACAGAGCGGAGCTTCACGAACGAAAGCAGTGGACAGCGACACTCTGTAGCTCCCGTTTCGTCTTAGGGGGGTTCCTTTTTTGGGGTGGGGGGAAGGAGCCAGTGCAAGTGAATGGAGCAGCGGGAGTGGAGCCAATGGAGTCGACCCAGTGGAGTCCCCATTACTACTGGGTTGGGATGCAAGTGGGCTTGGGCGCCCTACTACCACCATGATTATGTGGCTTGTACCCTCCAGATTATTATTTTCATTGGTTTGCGATTCCTTTCTTTTCTTTTTTTTCTTTTTCCTTTCTTTTGTCTTTTTCCCCTTCGATATATCTTTAGGGCTTTTTTCCTAATGGTGTCACCTTATATATAGATATATATATCTCCATATGTAATTTTATGACGGGTTTCAGATAAATAATGAGAATCGCCAAGGCATCATAACCTCTACGTCATGGCATCAAAAGAGAAGAAGAAAAGAGAAAAAAAAAAACTTTCTGTTTTTGCTCAAATCACTGTACGTACCAAGGAGGGGAAACAAAGAATTAAAATCATTAGAAAATACCCACATAATCAAACACGACAATCCATCACATCCCAGTCCCACCCGTGCGATCCAACGGCTAGGATGGACCAGGCGCTAGCCTCTTGGGCGCAGGAGCAAATCCAAGTCTGTTCAACGTCAGTGGACCACCGTCCAAGGCCCCCGGTCTCCGGTGGCGCCCGCAGTTGATCAAGCCTCTGGTTTTGAGAGGGTTTGCTTAGAGACGGCGGAAGGGCGATCTGGCACTTTCGGTGGGCTGGGTGGAGTCGCTGACTTGCTGTGAGGATGTCCGTGTTGTCGGCCTGCAATGCAAGCTAGCCTTTGGCATGCACTGGTAGAATATTCTAAAAAGTTCCCTGTTTGAAAAAGAGAAAGAAAGAAAGAGAGAGAGAGCGAGAGAGAGAAATAAAATTAAAAATTAAGGATTTTTGTTTCCTCCCAAAATTGATAATAAAAATATAATAGAAAGTAGAAGACGGCAACAGAAGCGGGTTAAATCGGTATAACAAGAGGTATATGCCGGTGAGGGAAAGGAGAATCCGAACAGTTGTAGGTAAATAACATACGTAGATCAACTGAGGTGGTGGTAGAGGCTCAGACACTTGGCCACACAGGTGACCATCATTTGAATTGGCGGTTCTGCAACTCTGATGCAGCCAGAGGCTGAAAAAAACGCCCATGGAGTAGCACCGCACATGCCCGAGGCCAAAGCAAATCAGGTGAGGGAGAACCTGAACGGTATCTGTACGGAGTATGCATGGATGTTAGTATGTCCATTGTCATCATTAATAGTCGATAACATTATTGGGGGTGGGTTTTTGTATATTTCACTTTCTATTTAAAAAAAAAAATAAAAAAATTATATTTGTCATTTCCAGTACTCCGTATACACCTTCATTATTATCATATAATTTTTTTTTTCACATAGACTCCCCTTTTTCTCACTGATTTTCTTATTGCTCCAATTTAATGCTTCAAACCTTCAAACGAAAGCGGCGCTCCAAAATCAAATTTTAAAGAAATTGTAAAATAAAATAAATACCCCACCATAGAAATCATAATAAAAAATATGAATGGTTCTAGAGGATTCGCTAGTCCCCCCCAATTTCAGACTATAAAAGATACTTAATTAGATAGTGCATACGACATACATCTATAGCACACGATAATTCCCCATCCCCATAGGAAAAAAAAAATAAAATAAAATAAAATAAAAAAAGGAAAAGAAAAGAAAAGAAAATTATAAAAATAATCTCACCCAACCCAGATGGTCCAACTCAAAATCCACTTTCCCGGGTGTGGAGTCAACTTCCAAACTTTCCAAGGCAGCCCGTTTCTCATCTGTACCCAGTCATTCCAATCCGATTCAGCCATGGGCTCCATCCTCCCCATGGCTACTCCTATCACTAACTCACTAGTGTTCCTCCTGCGCAGGAATCACCAGCTAGGTATCATTCTTCCTGCTAGTTCCGACGCTCTCCATCCGCCCAGACCAGGGTCTATTAGGATCGATGAGGGCGGAAATGGGGCCGCCGGCTCCCCTTTGGCCATGTCACGAGCGGTCTGACGATGACGATCGGCAAAACTTTGCCTCTCGCTTCCTTTCGCTCCTCCATCTTCGACTCAGGTATAAGATGAGCCATATATACCGATCTACCGACATAGTCTCTCTGAGCGGACGGGCGAAGGTTGCCAGATGGTCAGCGGGAAAGTTAAATCAACCTAGGCCACGTTCCAACCAGAGGACGGGGAAGAAATATATATCAAACCGATGATGTGTTGTTGATATTGCGAGGTGTACATATAACAAGATTCAGCAATCAGTTAATTACACATCCTGGTCTGACTCATCCTTACCCAACGTGACTTACACAGCATATGTGACTGATGTATGGATATGGGCTGTAGGACATACATAATGGCGACACTGTGCACCCCCCTTTCAGCCCATATTCTACCATTATCAGCACCAGGGGGGTGGGGGGAGCGCACCTGCAGCTCGGCGCGTATCAGGAACCTTGCCATGACAGTAATCGTTGCATCCTTACTAGTCGGTGGAGAACGAGCATCTCCGGGGTGTACTTCATATCATACTACCCCAGAGGTATATGATATTCTCGGTATACAAACGACATAGCATCACATATCTTCATGCTTTGTTGCTTAAGCCGAGACCTGGTAGTACCTTCGATATCGAGAGATAGAAGAGTTTCCATTTAGGTTCTCAACACTACGAGTAGACCGATTACATATGCGTTGAGATTATGCGTAAGAGCAATTACAGGTATAGTCAGGAACGACACAGAGCCAAGTGTATGAAAATGATAGTAGTTGTATTGCTAATTTTACGAAGTATGCCTACGCATTAGACAAGCCATAATAGGCTAGGCATCAAGCCTTGAGTTGTCGACCGTGATGATGGATCACTGTATCCACAGAGAGAGACACGAGGCCTCTCGCAAAGATACCGCGATGAGTAGAGGGTCGGGATTTGATCTTCTTTGCGTAAAATAAGCCTATACCACGTTGAAAGAGGTCACAAACCAGGCCCGAAGGCGGGAATGGACAGTACGGGCCAGAGTGTTGCAAAGGTCATCTGGGTATAGCCTGATCATGACTCCGCTCGCATATGGACCGCGAGTAAATCACAAACAGGTGGAAGGTGGGAAGACAGGGAGAGGTGTCCAGTGATAAACGAATCAATTTTCGATTGAACACAATTGGGAATCTTAGGTCATGACTCATAAACATTTTGTTTTCAAGGCATTAATCGTATTCTCCTAACTAGCATGCCGATACATTAAAACGACCGCCGCGGATTTCCGACCATGATTTACTCGGAGGGGACTAGGCGATGGTTAGTATATGAATGTCCAACCATACCAGTTTCAAGGACTTACTGTCAATCTCGCCAGCCTTGATTTCATCGCTGATATCCTTGGGGCTGCGGCCATCGACCTGGCAACCAACAGAGAAAGCGGTACCAAGGATCTCAAGGACGGTACCCTGAAGCTCCTTGGCCAAAGACCTGTGGCGCATCTTGCGAGCGATCTCAATGATCTCGTCAAGAGGGACGGACTTGTTGTGCTTGATGTTCTTCTCCTTCTTACGGTCACGAGGGGGCTCCTTGAGGGCCTTGATGACCAGGGAAGAGGCGGAAGGCACAACAGAGATGGCGGCCTGACGGTTCTGGATGGTGAGTCTGACGGTGACACGCAGACCCTTCCAGTCACCAGTGTTCTTGGCGATATCTTCACCAATCTTCTTGGGGGACAGACCGAGAGGACCGATCTTGGGAGCCAGAGCAGACTGAGCTCCGACCTCACCACCAGTCACTCGCAGGTGAATGATCTTCACCTCATTGGGGTCGAACTTGGGAGCTGTTCATTGAAAAACATATTAGTCGCCAGTGGTATAACCAAGGAGATGATACTTACGCATGGCGAGTGCGAAAGGTCGTCAATCGTCCTTGGAGAGTTGGTCGGGGTGGATGGTACAAAGAAGAAAAGGAAATTTTCTTGAAAAGGCGCAGAATATTTGACTGGAGACTCACTTTCCGGGCTAGGCCTAAGCGAGACGCCCAATCAGGTAAGGTGCACAGGGCTCAACCCGCTAATATCACGTGATGCATATCATGAAGCATGAAGGCTCCATACCATAGTTCCGGAGTAGGCAAGTGGAGTAGAAGTCAGATTTTAGTACAATTGATTTGGATTTAATTCATTGTGTCTAGGTAGTTGCTATACCGCGGGGTAACAAACAAAAACAAATAGCCGCTAAACATACAGAAGAACCAAATATCGACGTAGAACCGCCCTTTAGTGGTTACTACATCGTCATATCTAGCTGGTTCCTGAAACCGCAAGCCTACGTAGAAAAGTCAGTATCCACCTTTAAACTTATTGGCTTCATGATACTCACTTCATCAAATGGTCCATGAAAGTCTGCAACGAAACATCGTCGGTGAAAATGGTTTGCGATGTCACACCACCACCATATCCTCCTGTCGTGTGTGTGGTGGATGGATTCAGCTTCGACAAAAGGAAACGTGCCTGAGAGCCCCCAGCATCACAAACGATGAAACGAGGCAGTGGGAAGCGATCCGAAATGAGTTCCTGTTTTTAACCAAATTAGCTTATATGTCACTGCACTCGGAGAAGGGGGAGGGGCGGGAGACGAACTCTAGCGTCCTCTTTGGGTTGCTCAAGAAGAGCCTTCAGGTTCTCATAGCCTTCTTGGTCTTGGTAGCCGGCCTTTCTCCATTCTGCGATGGTTTCACCGTGGAAAATAAGGATATGGAAGAAGGTATCAAGCAAAAGAATGTGGGAAGGCTGGATGGAAGCCGAGTCAAGAAGGACAGGCTGGCTGCCTTCATGTTCCAGGGAGTATGAATCCAAAGTCGGCTGAATCATGACAAGGGAGTCACCAACATCCTCATGGTTAAGAACGTGCCTGTAGAAGGCTGTCTCATCAGGGGAGTTGTTGAAGAACTGCAAGAACTGACTTCTGCGGAGATGGAACATAAACTGAGGATAAAGCGTGAAATTCTTCTCGAGTCGGAAGGAAGTGGGATCGTCCTTTCTGTAATCCGCAAAGCGAGAGCAAAGTCTGATGAGCATCCGGTCAACCCATCTGAGGACATCGGGGCCATCGTCAACCTCTGCCTTGAAGACTGCAATACGCGCCATCAGAACTGCAGCGGCTTCCTGGTCAAAAGACTGTGCCAGCGTAGGATCTCCAGCTGGCCCACTCAGGTTGCGTGCGACAGTTGTGACCCGCAGGTGATAGTGACCAGACGAATGCTGGTAGTATGTAAGGAATTGCATCATTCCTCTCTGAGGACCCGGCTGCACCGCCGCAGGCCCGCCTTGGTTTGCGATCTCAAAGTAGACACCGTAGCTTGAAGAAGGATCAATGCCGCACATCTTCCAGGCACAGGTATTGCCAATACCGCACTCTGTTTCACCGACGGAACTCGACTTCTTGTTCAGAGATACGGCGTGGCCGATAAGCCCTGTGACCTTGAGCTCCTTAGTAGTGAGGACTTCGAGGGATGCGTTGAAGCCCATCAGCAAATTATCATTGGCATCTTTGTCGAAGATTCTGACAAAGGATTGCTTGAATTGTGAGGACGTGAAGCTATCTGTGAGGAGCATATGACCGCCAGTGTAGTTGACAAGGTTCTTCATCTCCAGAAGACCAACTTGGTCGAGACATCCCGCAAAGACATCCACAATATGTCCGTTGTTGGCAGCACGCTTAGCCATGACGTCGTAGAACTATACCTATCAGCATACCAAAATCTCCAATTCTATCGGAAATTGCTCACCTTGACGGCTTTCTTGTAGTACTTGATATTATCTCGATCAATATCGTGATGAGAACGCATAGGTTCCTTAAGCTCGGGTCCAACAACATGGCCTGGACCCTCGGTGGCCGGGCCGCTGGTGAAAACCATGATGCGTCCACCGGCATTCTGGAAGGAGGTCTCAAGCAAGCCAACCGCAACGCTAAGAGCAACACCCGTGCATCTCAGAGGTCGCTTGTCGTTCGCAACGGGCCAAGGGTCACGCTGAAGCTGCTCAAGAACGTTGGTAATCTGGAACTCGGCCTGCTGGACAGGAAGAAGGAATCGTGCGGCGGGACCAAGAGGCGGACGAGCCGGTTGTTGAGGCATGTTCGGACGCACTCCAGGAGAGAGGAGACCAAGCATCTCTTGGACTTGCTTAGCGGCGTATTCTTTGCTGCCTCGGAACACGTACGATTTGGCGCATTCGGTGTAGCCTAGCTCGTGGACTTGGGCCTGTGGTAGGGTCAACAATCTATTCTCGCGTTGCTCCCACCGTACAAATTCGCAGTTCATACCATAGTGCCATACGTGATCAATCCTACTAGCGCATTTGCTGGCAGCAAAGACAAGCTCATCACCAGAGTATCCTTCAAGGCCTTCAAGCTGTCCTCTTCCTGGCAAGTATCGACAACGTATACGAAGATAGGAGGGGTAGGGGCGGGGCGCGCCAATTGGTACTCGATAGTCGTGCTTAGAGGATGGAGCTCCGGTGGTATCGTGCTCTCGGTGATATCCTTGTAGTGAGGGGGGAGGGGGTTGCGCATCAGGCAGAATGGACATATCCAGATCCGGGCACGGACATCAACATTGCTATGGGTCGTTAGTCCCTAAACAAAATTGTATGCTGGAATGCATCTCCTACGCATAAGGATTCAGAACGGCCCGGCAAGGTGCTTTGCAGGTCACCGGTTCATATTGCAGCAATGGAGAGTCTGGCTTGTCCTTGAGCGGAGTGTACACAGCACCAATAGGGACGACCAGTCGAGATGCTTCCTATGCACTACTCAGTCAAAAGGATCTCACGATATCTGACATCCAAACTAACCATGCGTGAGCTTGGAAACGTGTTCCAGCTCAGTCTGATGCCATCGCGATCCTCGACATCACTCCATTGGTCCTTCAACGCTTCGTAGTCCATGTTGTCGGGCAAACAACGGGGCTCGGTAGCTTCGTCGTATGAGAGGGGTATCTAACGAACAAAGGTTGAAAGAAGAAACCCGGTTGATTAAGAAAAATAAAAGTATGAAAGAGTATCCTGTACCATAACCCGATCTCTACAAGGGCAACGCCAACAGCTGTTTGTCCGGAGACTTATGCGGGGACTAGGAGTATGTTGTGTGAACCTGTGTTGTTGCCATAAGGCCAGGTTGCAGCATGTTAGGCGGCTACGCGCAACCGTACGCTCGCGCTAGTGTGCTTTAAATTTCGGCCAAATCCGTCCGCAACCAACTTTTTTCTTTTTCTTTTTCTCATCTATACATCGCCGATACGTTTGAATTTTTGGCAGCTTCCGTCCATATCAATGACGAAGTTGTTCTTTCGCATCGAGTGAAGAGTAACCTGACCCGTTGCTGGGCACCTGGATTTGAAAGGTCGTTCCGATCCTTTCGGATAATTTGGGAATCAGCTGTGGTCACATCATGACCCCTCCTTAGCCATTTGATTGTGTGGCATGAAAGCGGCGGAAAAAGGAGGGAAAGCATTGCGATATGCAGATTAGTTTTACACGTAGATTTCTACCTAAGAAAAGACTGCCTGGGTGTAACGAAAAAAAAAAAAAAAAAAAAAAAAAAAAAAAAAAAAAAAAAAAAAAAAAAAAAAAAAAAAAAAAAAAAAAAAAAAAAAAAAAAAAAAAAAAAAAACACAAAAACAAAAACCGAATCCATCAACACCTTATATACAACTGTGTGAAAGTGAAAAGTCAAAAGCAACCACATAGCTTCGTAAAGTGCATTTAACAAGCTTTTAAGCTTTCTTTGGCGCTTTCCCCACCTGCTTGAGGAGATAACTGCGCTTGAAGTATGTGTTAGGGTGGACGATGGTGTCCAGATCCGTCTGATTCCAGGTACCATCCTCTTTCACTCGCTTGATCTCTGCCTTGTGCGTCCACTCGAACACCCTGTTGCAAGCGATATGATAGCGAGTCTTCTCCACGTCTTCCCGCACTCCACGCAGTAATTCTCTGTCACTAATTCCAGTTGACTGAAGAAGCCCAATGAGGTTGTCAACAGAGAAATGACGGTAAGGGCAGCCGTGTGTCTGTCCAACTCCTGGGTTTGAGTCACCAAGGATCTTTTGGCATGAGTAAGGAGGATAACCGCGGCCTCTGCGGTTGACATCACCACCCACATCGCCATAGGCGTGGCGAATATTGTACTTGTACCGGGAATTGAATTCGTCGTCGGTAAAGCCTTTGAATGATTGACGCCAGAAAACAATACACTCCTCTAATGATAAGCCTATTCCTTTCAAAAAGAGGGTGTATTGAAGCCGGCCGTAATGCTTTAGATGGTTGTTCTTGCGCAGTGACATATGTAGACTGCGCATGCAGAGTGGGAAATGTTGGGAAAGCTGATCGATGTTGTTGGCGGTGATTGGAGCGCCATCGACAAATCCTTCACCCTCGGAGTATACGGACTCGGCACTTCCAAAGTTCTTAGACAGGTGGTTCAAAATGGGTGTGAGACGATCATCCTCGTCCAAACGTGGTAGTGCTCGACTCGTGAGCTAGTTATAGTTAATGGTTTTGCTCTGAGCATGGCGCAGGATAGCACATACCTCCAAAGAACGCTCTAACCGAGCCGTGAATTCAGCAATAATCATGCTCAATTGCTCCCTTCCTGGTACATACGCTTTGCCTCTATATAAGAAGACAGACCGTCTCTCCACCAGCTCTGGGACTCTCTCCCAATCGACCTTATACCAAGATTCGTCATCTACACGGCGCAAACCCGGTGTCGCATTCACAAGATGCTCGGAAAGCTCACGCCTCTCCTCATCACTAATAGGCTCCCAGTCGAGATTAAGGCTCTCTATAAAAGCACGTTTCTCTCTTGAATCATCTTTTTGGAACCGGAACCTAAAAAGCATG